AGAGGATGAGCCACTGTTCCTGGACCCAGGGACGATTGGAAAAAGAAGCAGTTGTGTTCAGACACAGTCATGTGGTAGGCAATGGCTCTTATGCCCTGGACTTTCAGGCTTTTTGTTATCATGGACATGCAGTTCCACCATCATCATTAGGAACAAATAGCACCTCCTTTAAAAGTTTTTATTATTGCATAATCGCAGGAGCACAGGGCTGCCTCCATGCTAGTGGCTGGGCCAGGTGGCCAAGATGCATGCAAAAAGCCCATGCAAAGGCAGCCAACTGCACCCTCTTCCTATAAGGCCACTCCCTCCATGCCACTGCAGGCAATCCACTTCCCAACATACCCAGGATCTTTTTTTTTTGTGGCAAAGGAACACTGGCACATTCTGTGTGGCAAAATCACTGGTCTGGGATTCTGCCTCAGAAAACAGTTCTATGAAAAGGGCAGTGAAGTGGGGCAGGTTTGATCCACAAACTGGTAAAACTGCAGAGTGAAACGGCACCCTACAAGGACCTGCATATGCAAACCTGAAAAAAAGATCTACTGTAGTGAAGATCAACACCTTCAGAGCAAATCCATTCAGAATATTGGGAGCTGGGCATGTTATGCCTCTTTGTGTAAAGCACCAAGGGACCGTGGTGGCTGTATGAGTGAGATGAAACAGCTCATCTTAAGATGGTTAATCGGTCTAGACTCTAGATCGAAAAATGATCACAAGCCCAACTTGGGGATAAGCTTGTGACTATGTTACACTGGCTTCAAATTATTGTTGTGTAGAATCAAGGACGATGAAGGCTTTCCCAGCAGGATTCTGACCATTTGCTTCCTGTGTGGAGGCCACAGTGCAATCATGGGGCCCCCTGGATGCACAACAGTGGAAGGAGGAGACCTCTGGCTTTCCACGCATGCCGCTCCACTGAACTGAATTATGCACTTGCAGATATAAGGTTCCATGAAAGCATTTCCAACTGGCGATATGGCTGTTTGTAAGGCACAGGACCATGTGCAATGCTGGCGCTCAACCAGTGATCATCAGGTTGTACTATGAGGAGCAAAGACTTGCACAAAAGAAACCCTGGAAACCAGCTCAGTGGAAGGGAGCAGTTAGCAGGACTCCCTTCTGCAGCCTCCACTGATCCATCCCTTTCCGGAAAGACTCATTTGAGTGAGTTCCCAGTTGCTAAAGTATGATCATTCCTGGTGCCCCGGAGGTCATTCCTAACTCTGGATACTGCCCTTAATTACTTATTACTATTCATAGCCTGCCCTTCACCTGACACTCCGAGGGTAGAGTACATAGACATTAATACAACTGAAAACCACCTTCAAAAGCTCAATTCACACCTTCATCCTTAAAGTAATTCAGTGCAGCTTAACTACAGAGGGGGAAGCAACTTGATTTTGTATCCTTCCACCTTCTTCCAAAGTCAGCACACATTAGTCCAAACAGCAATATTTACTGTGGGAGCATGCAGCCTGGAGCCCTTCCAACATTTTGAACTACTGCCAACAGCTACAGGCAGCATGACTAGTCCCAAGCATCTGGAGGGCACTGGTTGCCCATCTCTGGTCTACTGGGTTTCATGCATTTCAATAGCACACCAGACCGAACCCAATTCTCTTTTTCCCCCAGATCTCCCCAGCCATCCTGAAGTCGCTTGCTTGCGAGTTATCCCAGTGAACAAGTGATTCTGCAGAAGGGGCAGCCCCAGCTTTAAATCCTTATGACCACAAGAAGCTTAATATAACTGCAGTGCTCATCCACGCACCTGATCATCAGCAAACTTGAGGAGAGCTGCCATAGGATCCGCACCAGGAGACAGCACAAAGATCAGTGGGGCACAGCAGTGGCTATCACCAAAGGCTTTGGACAGGTCAAAAGGAGGTGGTTCAATAAACAGGCGCCCCAAACTCTCAGTGATATATTCTTGCACCATTGGAATAATCTAAAAAAAAAAAAAAAAGAGGAGAGGGGGTTTCCCCTTAAAAAAAGATCACATTGTACTTTTGTGATGTAGGACAAAGCAGCTAAAGTATATTTCCTTTGTAACAGAGTCACTAACACAGACCTTTGCTCATTCATGGCTAATAATTTAATATCACTGCACACCAGCTACATGTATAAATGAACAGAGGTGCACATGCTGTAATATATCTTTTAGTCCTTTTATAAATACTAAGTAAAGGAACAAGTGCACACTGCTCACTGAGAAAGAAAGAAACTGCAGTGCAGCAAGGGAGTCACCATGCAGCACTGGCGAACCTACAAAGGACATTATGTTAAACAGCTGATTCCATTCTTTTGCTGCTTGATGCCTAACAAGGAGTAGAATATTTATTTCCATATTTTTTTCAACTCCCCAAAGCCCCTGTTAGCACAGACAGTGGTCAGAAAGGCTGGTCATTGAAAGTAAAAACTTCTTGAGATCTATTACCTGCCTACCCTGCCCAGATCCAGGCTTCCCCATCCTGACGCCCTTGCTGCAGTGTTGGGGCCACAATCTTTTCCAGAACTGGGGGAGTTGGAAGTCCCACTCATCTGGAGGACACTAGGTTGGGGAAGGCAGTTCTAGGCTCCATTCATCACACAGTTCAAGATACTCTAGCCATTGGGCTCACTGAAGACAAGGAATTACAATAGCACAGAGGTGTACCATTCCTTGCTTTTCTAACCATTCATGGCTCCACCTTCAGCCTTATACAGGAAACTCCCTAGTACCAGATCAATGTTGTTTATCCTTCTAGACCAATATTGCTGGTCCTGACTGGCAGCCTCATGATCAAAGGGAGAAAAATTTTTCCCGTCATCCTTCCATCTGGAGATGCCAGGGACTGAAACTTCATGCAAGGCATTGCATTATATCAACTCCTAGAGTGAAGGCTGCTTTCTTTCACAGAGCTCCTTAACTTCACCTTGCTATTTCCCTTCTCACAAAGCATGTCTCCTTGTTCCAATTTATACCATGCAAATGTTGGATTTTGCCACCTGCAAGGGTATGTATCATTCATGGACAAAAGCACTCACTCCCACCCAACTGCTTCAACAGTCTAAAAGGAAAAGTGGAAGCATTTATTCATGTATTTACTTGGAAACATTTTAGCCAGAAAAAGTTCCCACAGCAGCTTATAAAGATCAATAATTGACAGTTCCCGACTTACACTCCACAAGCCACAACACAAAAGAAAAAGTGATTGGGAGGAAGAAACAAACTCAGGCACTTGTTCTTAAAGGTCAGCAAGTAGTTATATTTTCGCACCCCATATCCCTTTGTGGAAGGAGAGTTTCACTGGTTGATTTCGGTCAGGCAGCTGTTAGAGAAAACATTGTCCCACAAATAATATCAGGTTTTAAGCATGTATATAGTTTGCATTCAAACTACTTCACATGTCTTATCCCAAAACTATTGCCAATAGCCCTCTGAAATTAAGATTTCCCTCTTACCAAGTTGCTGGTTGAGATCAGGTTTGAACCAGCTCATGACCCCTGCATCCATGTTTTGCCATAATACCTCTGGGTTAACAGGACAATTGGAATCCTAGCCTTGCACCTGTCTGCTGTAGCAGATGCTTAGGCAGGTGCAACTTGATAGGAAGGCATGAGAGAAGCCACACCTGGTGAATTTGCTGGTGTACTCAAGAATGAAAGGAACAGCAGCCTCTGTTGCATGTGGCAATTCCAAAGATCCTTATATGGTATGAAAGCATATTATGTTCCCAGAGACCACTGTGGTAGACTAGCCTATCTCTTATTAAATTTATTAAGGTCATGATTTTCCCCATGAACACTTACATGGCGAAAATGTCACTGAACCTTGCAGTGTAAGAATCCTATGCATGTTGTCCAACTGGGAAAAAGTCCCACTGAGCTCAGTAAACCTTATTTTTGAATTACAAAATGCATGAATCAAGTTGCAAAGAGACCTTGAAAGTCATTGAACTATGCTGGCTAGAACTGATGGGCAAGGAAAGCCAAAACGTCTGAAGAGCTAGAAGTTGTCCATTGCTTACAGACTTGGGTTACTGCCCCCAAGATGCTTTTACTGGTTTTTTTCAGTGGGATCGCACTGAGGCTAACTGGGCTACCCAAAAATATGTTTCTGAAATTACCATCAGTAGTGCAATGCTGACACTGTGTAGTGCCTTCTTCCCCCAACCTAGAGTCCTCCAGACTCCTTTGCTCCAGGTTTAGCCATAAACCTGGAGCAACTCCTCTATGAAGAAAGGGAACTGTTTAGCTTAAGAAAAGGAGGCATGATAAAGAAATACCAAAGTATGCATGGTGTGGAGAGAGTGGAGAGGGAGATATTTTCCTCCCTCTCATATCCTCTGAAGCTGACTGGTGCAAGATTTAGGGCAGACAGAAAGAAGTACTTCTTCCTACAGCACATAGTTACAACAATGGAATTTGCTCCCACAAGGTGTAGCAGTGATAGTTACCAATCTTTATGGCTTTCAAATGGGACTGACCATACTGACCATGGAGAATGAGGGTATCAGTGCCTGCTAGTCCTCATGGTTCTATGCTACCTCCAGTATCAGAGGCCGTATGCTGATGTACACCAGTTGCTGGAGAGTATGGGCAGGAGGGCATTGTTGCATTCATAACCTGCTTGCGAGTTTCACCTGGGCAGCCAGTTGGCCGTTGTGTGAACAGAGGAACTGTGGTCAGATCCAAGCATGGGTCTTATGTTCTTGCAGTGGGAATTATCATCCAGAACATCTGGAAGGTACCAGTTGTGACTAAGCTATGCATTTTTACACAGTCTTGTTCTCGAAACATTTATTTGAACTGAAGAACAAAGCAAAGGGTTTGAGGGAGGATTATCCACAGCTCTCTTCTTCCAGTTGAAGACAGTTTAACTATTTTTTGCCTTCTTGTTTACAGGTGAGATCAATGAAGTCAGCTAATGACATGAGTTAAATATAAAAAGGCAAGCCATGGAAAGGTATGAGATTAGAGAAGAAGGGTGTTGGAAGGTAGCCACAAAATTGGTTTCTTAAATGGAGGCTTTTCTGAAAGATATCAAGTTAACCTCCAAGAGCCTGTTTGTATATAGAGACATGCATGAATATGAGAATCGCTTGAAAACCTTCACTGAGTGGCCTTTTAAGGATAAATGCAAATGCACCCCTGAAAATGTAAGTCTAGAAAGCTACTCCAGTAAAACTTGATAAAACAGAAATTAGCTTCTAGGTTATGTAAGCTTGTTCAAATCTGTACTACCTTATTTGAGGGAGTTGCTACCCCTTCTGATAAGGTTCCTATGAATTTAAGAACTGCACAACTAATTAGCCATTGTTGAGGAAATTCTTACCTATTCCTGATCTTCTAAATGCATGGTGTTGTTTGTTAGCAGCATTGGAACTTTTCTGGGGAAAATGTATTAATTCCAATTCTTGGAATTATTGGATAGAGGTCTTCTGGGTGAAAACTAACCATGACTATCTGCCAGCAAAACAGACCCTATTGGTGGACTCCCTGCAACCCTCCCATATGATAGAGGATTGAGGGACATACCAAAGCAGATCTGGAAGTTGTGAGGGATACAGAGGAAAGAAAAAGTCCTGTTGCATGAGCAAAAGTCTGCAGTTGGAGGTTGCCTTCTGCATTTATGGCAGGCTTGCTTCCATGTTGCTTCTTAAATCTGCTTTCTTGTCTGTTCTGTTCCCCACTCTCCTTCACTGAGCTTCTAAAGTAATGTTAGTTGTAATTAAGAAACTTTGCAAAAACTGAAACTGTAAAATAAAAAAAGCTCCCTGGAAAGCTAAGTTTTCACAAGAGCAGTGAGTATCCCCGGGTGTTTTGACCAACTATAGCTATCAGCCTTAGCCAATAAGGGAACATGGGTCTTGTAGGCCAAAACATTTGATGAACCACAAATCAGAATGTATAAGTGCAACATAATTTGAATGCCGTAAAGCTGCTGAGTATTTATAAGACAGAAGATCTTTTCTCTTCTGTATAACTTCAAGAAATGTAAACTTTCCGAGTTTCACTTTCAACATGGAGAAGCTGAAAATACAGTAGGAGTTGTACTTGAATGTACAAGACATCAGTCAAATAACCAAAGAAACTAGAAAGAATGAACTGTTGTAAATTACCCAGAAACTGTTGGCAATTAGGTGGATCAGAAAGGAAATACAAATAATATAATCCCAACAGCCTCCGTCTTCAGGTGTGGTTATGGTTTTACCATGCAGATGGCCAATGCTGGCTTTATCCATTGTCCGAATGTGGGTGAACCTGATGTGGCAAAGTGTTTCTTCTGCTTGATAGAGTTGGAGGGCTGGGAGCCAGAACATGATCCTTGGTAAGTATGCTCTGACACTTGCAAGAAGTGAAAACTCAGCTGTGAAACAAACTAAATATACCTAGGAAAAATGTCTCTTCTTTGAACCCAGTTCAGCCTACAGCATTGGACTACAAGTTAGATGAGCTGGGCAGGCATTGATCTAAAAGGGATATGGATCTTAAAAGTGGAGGCATGCCTGGCAAGCGGGGAGCCATTGTTGCAAGTGAGGCAGAAGGAGAGTAAACCTAACAGGAGCAACTGTTCAGATGTTGTTGAACTCTAGCTCCCATCAGCTCCATCCAGCAAGGCCTATGGCCGGGGATGATGGAACTTTAGTTCATCATCTGGGGAGATGGCACTTTCATTAAAATCAATTCAAATCAATGCCGTCTTAACTAATCTAAGTTCCTTCATCCAATACCCAGTTCTTTGAGACCCAAGCTGCTGCCCTCTCCCCTCCCTTGCATTGTACCTGCCCCTTAGCCTCAGGGGTGGGGTGTCACTTTCTCCAGGCTTTGATGGGTTCCTGCCAATTATCATAGCCTGGGACCATCTCTCAGAGAGCATAGATCTTTCACAGGGAAGGTCTCAGGTACCCTCCATGGTACTTCTAGGTGGGATGGGCAAAAACCCACTGGCTGAAGCCCTCCAGGGTTGCCAGTCTGTGGATAACACTAAGCTGGAAAGACCAATGGTCTGACTCTGTGCAAGGCAAGGGTGTGTAGTGCGGCCCATGATCCACATCGAGGGGGTTTGGTTTTGAAAACAAAGTGGCAACTGCAGCAGCTATACCAGATCAGATGCATCATATTTCGTTTGCAAAATGCTCATCTTGGCTGTTTGGCACTCCACCACTGCTACAAGGGCCTTATTATGACCGCCCATGGGCAGCACACAGCCTGCAGAGCATGTGTGGGGAGGAGGGAACTACTGCTAATTACCTACAGTTGCCCATCTCGACAGAAGGCAATTTCTTATTATACCTCAATGAATTTCACAACTTTAGCTCTCATTAGGAAACATTCTACTGGTTAATAGCCATTCCTTAATTTGCTTAAGGAATTTGCTAGCAACCATAAGATTACCATATTGCTCATGTAAGCTTCTGGCTTATGCTAGAAGAGACCATATAATAACTTTTACAACTGGGCAACTTGGGATAGGTGGAATATTTTAGGCCCACAATTTCCATCAGCACTAGCTGATGGAACACAGTCACTGGTGAAGGATGATGGAAGTTGTAGACCCAAACCCCTGTAGGGCCAGCTGCTCACCCCACACGCACCGAGAACTCGGCACCTCAAACTGCAGCTACCCATGAGAGTGCTGCTTCTGGCACATCCTGCATCTTATTAGCAACCTGTTCCATTGCAGGTTGGAACACTCCAAGCGCAGCAAGGACTCTTGTGGATTTTTGTCCCTCTCAAAGAATGTTGGCGACCTGACAGTAGAGGAATACTATGAACTAGAGATGGAGAGGGTCAGGATTTTCCTTGTAAGTAACAGCACCTGTGGGATTTTGTTTAAATGAGAGCAATTTTATACTGCTTCTGATACACCCCCATCCCATTCAAGGCCTAACTGGGGTAGAGGATCTGAAGAGAACATCGTGTGCTTTTTCAGAAGGGGAGCACAAGCTCAGCAGAGTAAGGGTGGCTATTTAAGAAACCTTTTGCTGTTATGAGTGGAGATGCTATATGCCAATAGCGGCTCTGCTGTTGCACATAATTAAAGTTGCTAATCCCACCCCAGATTACACAGAATATTCCCTGAAATCAGTGTAGCCTGTTCTCCCACTCCTGGAAAGAAAATTCCATCAAAATGAATTTTGGTTCAGCTCAAGCTTGAGTAAATACTGACAGCTTGCCTGCATAGCTGTGATTAAACACTCTGAGGAAAGGACTGAGAAAAATCTGCCACTTGAGAGTAGATGTGCAAAATCCTTGCCTTAAAGACTCTATTATTTTAGATTCTGTACAATTAAGTGATGTTAATGAAAACACTTAAGACATAACTTATTTATCAGAGCCAGTGTGGTGTAGTGGTGAAGAATTTGGACGGGTGCTTAGGAAATCTGTTCTTACTCAGCCATGGAGCTCACTGGGTGACCTTGGGCCAGTCACAGACTCTCAACCCAACCTACCTCACAGGGTGGTTGTTGTGAGGATAAGATTGGGAGGAGAATTATGTAAGCCAGTTTGACTTCCTTGAAAGGTAAATAGGTGGGGTAGAAATAAAAAATGAATTAAAAACATAACTGACAGCAAGAGATCTATGGACATATCACTCAAAGTAATTGTGAAAGCACAGAGGTCCTAGCATATGCTGGGGTTAGAAACATAATTATTGAGTTTCTAAGGCACTCCATGGGGAAGATGGGTGGGGGTGGGGGTGGGGGTAGGGAGATGTTTCATCAGGAAGTAGAAGTACTTGGCTTTCTGCTTCCCAAGCTACTCCATACTGTCGCCAAGCATGGCTGCTCCATTTTCCTCTAGCACACGGGACGTGCCAGCTGTCCCTGCACCAAAAGCTTGGGCATGACACTGGAAGGAGGCATGAAAGCTCCTTTTTCAGATTACATGGAGGACAGGAAGCATGTTTGTTTGTTTTTACTTCCAAACAAACCCTGCCAAATCTTAAAGCAGTCCACGTACCTGCTCAGGATGCTTAGCTGTTTGATAGGTAACTGTTGTAAGCCACTTGGAAGGCCTTGGCTGTGGGGTAGTTTAGAAATGAAGTGATATGTGCAACTGAATGAAATTCTTCCCTTCATTCTTAAGTGCAAAACTGGCTGGAGCATAATAAACGCCTTTGAAAAGGAAGTGGCCATAACTAGGAGACGACTCGTGGATCACTTTCTGAATGAGTACCAGTATGCAGCAGAATCGGCTAAGCCTTCCGAGACACTCCAGCAGTCCGCTGTTCCTGCTGCAGAAGAGAACTGTGTGCTAACCCCCAAATAGATGAGAGTGTGCCAAACGGGACAAGCCAAGAGGCACCTCCTGACAAGCACAGTAGCGGAAGTATTTGCCTACAAATGAGTCAAGGCATGAGCTGTAATATCTGCTTGATCATGAAATTCACTGTGGCCACCGGTAACCCTCTCCACTCAGGTTTACAGACAACCTGTGGAAGCCAAAAGGAATGTACAGGTGAAGATCATCTTTGTGCTCCTCCTGCCTTACAAAACATTGAGATGGGCTGTTTCAGCCATTGAGGAGAGGAGTCTGAGACACCAACAGGGCACTCTGCATGCTGGTGGTACGGCTCCCCTCCTTTCCCTGTCCCCCCAGAACGCCCATCAAACCCCATCTTCAAAAAATGTTCTTGTGACCTTAGAGTTGAAGCTGCCCTGGGTTGTTCTGAAACCAGGCGCAAGGGCTGAGGGAAGGTGCTCTGACTTGGGAGTCCCAATTCTATGGCTCTGAGAGAAGAGCTGGGGCTCCAAATTCAATGGCTGCCCACACTTTCTGGTAGCACAGCATTGCACCTTAAGTGGGCAGTCTGGTAGGGAGGGAAAGCCTGGGCCGTCTGTCTGTATTCCTTATGCTAGAATTGTATGTAATGCTGCTTCTGTTTGAAATCCAGAAGGGAACAGGAGAAAATAACTTTTGACTTAATGGAAGAAATCCATTGAACCAAAAATTGTTTGTGTGGACAGGGGTGCAGAAGAATATAATTTTTAAATAAAGCATTTTGGATGGAACCGTGGGACTCTTCTCTTAGATGGATACCTAAGTTGATCACTTCCACACTGACACATACTGCAGTCCGAAGTACTTTTGCTTGAGGGTGACTCATGCCACATGATTGTGTTAGACCACTAAACTGAAACTTCATCAGGGATGACTCTGCCTGCCCATCTCTTTCCATTTAGCCACATACCACTGTCTTTCAATGAAGGGCCATGATAAAATGCAGTGACACTTCCAAGCTCCTTATGAATTGCACATCACTTTTTTGTCTTGAAACCATAACATATTGTGTGCCTTTTTGCTTTAGAAACAACCACCACCCGCTTTTGTGGTTCAAATACAGATGTAGGCCCCAATGCCTATAGATAGATCTCATTTCGAGTAAAACTGATGGGCCTTTTCCTTTCGCTTCTGTCACCCAGCTACATTTCTCTTTCATGGGGTTTTTCAGGATTGATATAATGTGCAACTAAACAGAAAACCAAATTGGGAAAGCAGTTCCAACACAGTGAAAAGCAAGGTCAAAGCACTACTAAAATCAAAATCATTTCTTTTTGATATTATATATGAGCTCGATGTGGGATTGGAAAGAAATGAAACTACTGCCAAAGTTAACCCTGCTATAATTTAAAAATGAAAAGTTAGGGGAAACTGAAGCTTTAGTCCCCATCCCTGATGCAACTGTGATCAATTTCCTTGTTTAAGTGTGGCAGGGAAACATCAGTCCTGTTTGGGGTCACTGAGGAAGAGGATTTAACTTCTTGCAACCCTAACCTCTGGCCCTTCGGGCTGAAAGCACTGCCCACCCTTACAATTAAAACAAAATTTAAAAAACCGCCCAAGCCAACTCACACTAAAACTGGCTGGTGCCACTTGTGCAATGGACCTGCAGAAAACGGTTGAGGTTAAATGTCTGGGTTTCTAGAAGTCTCTTGCTTGCGAGACACTTAGAAAATGTACTGTAGCCCCATAACATAGTTTCATTGAGTGGCTTACAAAACAAATCCAGCCATTAAATATGGCCCAAAATGCTAAACTATAACAGAGAAAAGCACAGCTAGAAGTATTAATTTTTTCAGTGCTTCATAAAATTATTTTCTTGCTGTTTTATAATTTAAACCATAATGCAAACAGAAATACATTTAAATAAACTGTTTGCATAGGTGATGGTACATGTACCATAGGCAATAATGCTCGCACCCTATCCAGCTTCACCTGTATATTTTCTCTCTCTCCAATGCAGATTTGGGAAAAGGCATAGCTGTCCCTTTCATGAAGACAAATTAGACAGCATTTAATCTTGATGACTAGGCCAGGGATGTTGGAGAAATCTGCCATGGGCTCAAATGATTAGACACTACAGGTCAAATTCAACCTGTGGATTCCACAATGGACCTGGGTTTGGCGGCGAAGGTTGCAAGTCGTGCAGATTCTGTCGACTGCAGACCATGGTTTAAAAACAATTCTGTAATTTTACGCCAATTTAGTCATAGAAAGATATTAAAATAAAAACATCAGTCATAAGGTGCACTTCCCCCACAGGCTAAAGCATCAAATAAGCATTTTTCCAGGGATTTGTGCATTTTGGAAAATGCAAATTGGCACAAATCTTTATGAAAGCATTTGTGCAAGACTCAATTCTACCCACAGCCAGGTAACAGAACAAAAGGCGCCTGGCGATCCATGGAACAGGCATGGAATGGGTTTTGGAATGGCTGTGCACCCTGCCTCAAGGGCCCTCATGCTGACCATGCTTACTTTGTCAGGTCTTAAGCAGCGAATGATAAGCATCCTCTGGAAACCAGCCATCTTCTCTTGCCACTCCTCAGGAAAAGCCTCATGGTGAGGTTCCTACAAACAAGCATGTATGAAAATTGGCTCAGCTGTATCAAACTCAAAAGTAGCCCACCACCAATGCTCTTCAGACTAAGGTTTCACAAGCCTACAATTTTTAACAATTTTTTAACGAAATACTTCAGATTTTCTCATGCATGAGGCCATACTGTAGCTATGCATATCATAGAACTCTTGATAGTTTAAGCATATTAAGAGGAAAATTTTGAGGAAGGTGGGTGATTTGGAGCCAAGAAACAGTACCTGAGGAAAAGAGAGTTTGCCTTGCCTAACATTCTGTTTCCCACACCCAATGTTGTGCTATTTCAAGTTGTGCTTCAGAAGGGGAAATGTGTACTGAAGTGCTTGATCCTGCCTAATTTTGGAAAGCAAGCAGGGTCAGGCCTGGTTGAAATCTGGATGAGTGACTTAAATGTTGTGAACCACCCAGGGAGCTTTGGCTATGGACAGTACAGAAATGTATATAATGATAACAACAACCCTGCAATGCAAGGCAAGGGGGACGGCTAAGTACTTCCTCTTCTACACTGTCTCTCTGTATGAACTTCTCTTTCATAATCTTCTCTTCCTTTTTTTTAACGGTAATTAGGAATCTGTTACACTGCTTGCTGTGCATTGCTTGACACTGAGAAGCATGTAGCATAGGTTAAATACATAGGTTAAATATTTGCCAGCTTATATTCCCTATTTAGCCTGGCCTTTAAGTAAAGAAACAACAGTAACTAATGGGCAGAATTCATCATCCCCACCACTTGCAAATATACTCAATATAAGACAAATGGGCCAATCTCTGTGCTAAAGAATAAATGAAGATAAATTTGATATCAAAAATGCAATATTCAAAACTTTCTGGAAGAGTGCTTCAGCCTCCCAGGACACTCTGTCATTGCCCTTAAAGCAGCCATCTGGGAGCAAGTAAATTTCCAAGGGACTTTAAAACAATAAACCACTGAATTACAGTTCATCATAAGATACAACTCTATCTCCTGTAGCTGGGAAAAAGAGTGTGTGCAGGTGTGTGGGCAGACACCCAGGCAGCACAATCTTATGGCCAATAGGCAGAATTAAGATGGCCGCAGCATAACTTGGAGTCCCAGCCCTGACTTGGGAACTGGGCCTACCTCTGAACCTGGAGCCTCCTCCCACGGGCAGAGTGGCACCAACTGCAGGCCTGACTTCGCAGGAGGAGCCTCAGGCAGGCTTTTGGGGACAAGGAGGAGGGCAGGCACAGGCGTGGCTCCAGCAGCATGCAACGTATCCTGGCCAGTGCCTTAGCCATTTCACCTTGGCTTCTGAGGCACCACGGTCAGGTGGCCAAAATAGACAAGGTGTTACGTATGGCAGGAGGAGCACAGAGATTGGCTTTGCTTCCACATTCCTCCTTCCATGCACAGGATGCCCGTATTCCTCTGAGTTTGGGGGGCAGGGGGTTTATAAGTCCAAGATGTATTTATATGGGAGGATTTGTTCAAAGACAGGGAGAAACAAAACCCCAAAAAAGTGAAAGACGGCAAAATCACTGGGCTCCTGGATGCAATCATGACACATCTTCCCTTCCAATATTACTGGGTCATTAAACGTTGGTTTGCACAGACATCTAAAACAAGGACAGCTCCGTTTGGGAGCCAGTAGAAGAGGATGGCAAGGTCCAGCAAATATCCCGGAGTGCAGTTTCCAACAGTGCTACTGCATTTCCACTGACTCCACTGAGCCTGCAGGATCCGCTGCCAGTGCAATGGGAAAAGCAATCTGAGAAACAAGTGCAAACACGTCTTTCCTAACAATACGCAGGTCAGTGGAACTCTCTTTTGCAAGCTCTGCTGAGCTGCCATGTTCCAGAAACATGCCTTTCTGTTAGTTTCTAGTTGCTTTAGAGCCAGTCACTCCTCAGTACACTAGTGATGAATCCCACTGCCAGGTGAGCTAAAATTTCATTGGATGAAATATTTATCATTCTGTTTTATTCTAGAAGAAGTCATCTTAGTACCAATACATGCATGGGTAGAAAGCTGTACATGCTTGTGATTCTGACTGCAAAATGGAGATGAATTTTAGTCATCTAGAACCACTCACGGGAAGTTCTTAGGAAGCAAATTTGGCTAAGTATTAAGAGAAACATCCTACCAGTGAGAGCTGTTTGGCAGTGCAACAGAACTGCCTTTCCCAGAGGTATTTAAGCAGGGATTGGATGCACCCTACATCTCAGGGCCTGCACCAAGCAGTGGATGAAACTAGATGATCTCCAAGATGCTTCCACTCCTACCATGCTAGGATTCTGTTTTGATTAACTAGCAGAAAGGGATGAACAAGGGTGGATAACATACCAGACTATCATAAACTGACTTCCACCCATCCTTCAAGTTGATGAATCCCTTCCGAATGCCTCTGAAGGGTTGCAAATCATCAAGGCGGCA